AGAAAAAAAAACGTGGATCAAACACAAAGAAAAGCAAGTACATATATCTTCTGTAAGAAATTTCTATAAGAAAAAAGAAAAAAAAAAAAAGAAAAAGAAGAAGAAGAAAAAAGAAAATGAAAAAAAAAGGAAAAGAAGAAAAAAATCTTTCTTCGTTAAAATCCTTTTACAAGGATCCAATCTCGCTAATAGAAAGTCCCCTTGAGGTATTACAATAATAATAAAAATAACAATGACAACAATAACAACAACAACGACAACAACAGCAACAACAAGAATAATAATAATAATAATAGTAATTTATAATGATGATGATGATGATGATGATGATGATAATAATAATTACGACGTCTTAACAATGTCAAAAATTTGTATCATAAAATTTTTCCCTCCCTCCTCCTCGCCTCGCCCCAGGGTCCAACCTCCCGCAAGGTACCATAATCTCAAAGAAATAGAAAAGTTAATTATGTTAACGCATTCAACGATATTCACCCTTACGTCTCTCAGGGGAAACTTTTTTAACAATCGAGAAGAAATCATTTATTTCGTATATAAAGAAATTTGTAACGTGTAAGGTTTGGTCTCCAATGGTGGTCCCTCAAGTTATATAGAATTCGTTTAATATACACGATACAATGTGTGTTGTGTTATCATATGCGATAATGAAAGATCTCGTATATTTTAAAAGAGAATCGAAAAAATCGAGTTAAAGCCAAGGGGAAATATCGTAGCCGACTGAATTACATTGTTGATCGTACCAATCTTGAGTTTGTGCCAAACTTGCGGTGGGAGGAAGGGGCGAGGGGGAGGAGGAGGAGGAGAAGGGAGAAATGGATTAACAATATCGATAGACGGAAGGAATGGAAGAGAAGAGAAGAGAAGAGAAGAATGAACGATAAGAAGGGAGAAAAGAGAGAGAGATAGACAGAAAGAGAGAGAAGAGAGAGACAGAGAGGGGAAAGGTTCATAAGTTCGCTTTAAAAAGATAACATTTGTATCATAGTTCGTTCTATTTCCACAAACAAAAAGTAGTATACTTGCTATTGATATAATATAAATGTACGTACATACATACATAGATCGTACGATGTAATAATGAAACTTTATTGATAATATCTTTGTCGTTCATACAATTTGAAAGTGAAATTGAACATTCTATTTTATTTATATCGACAAGAAAAAGAAAAAAAAAAAAGAAAAAAGAAAAGAGATTCAGAGATGAAATCATCTATGAAAAAGTAGCATACTTGCATTGATATGATATAAATATACGTATATAAATCATAATAATATGCTAACGTAGCATTGTAGATAATATCGAACCTAATTCGTTGATTAGTTCGAAAATGAATTAAATTTCGAATTGTACGTATTAGAAATTCTTTCCTTCGGACTGAATCGTCTATTTTTCTCTATCGAAAAAAAAAAAAAGAAAAGAAGAAAAAGAAAAAAAAATTGAAAGATTCAATCGTATAAAAAAAAAATGAATAACATATTTGCATCGGTATAATATATATATATACAGATAATACAATATGCTAACATAGCTTTGTAGATAATATTATTGTTATTGTTCGTCCATTTGAGAATAGATTAAATTCTAATATATAACGTATTAGAAACTCTAGTTTCCTAATCAAATTAATATAACATTTAATATATATATGTATATATATATATTTATTTATTTATTTATTTATTTATTTATTTATTTATTATATTATATTAATATATTATTTAACGATGCAACAATTAAGTAATATCATCAGATATTTATCAGTTAAAAAATAAAATAAACTTGAACATATTAGAATTATTAGAACATATTAGAATTTCTAACTTTTCTATCGGAATTAAATCTTTGACCCGGAATCATATGTACGATAAAAGTAGAGCATTCCTGTATTAAGTACATTACAAATTTATTTATATATATATATATATATGTATATATAAACTATATAATACGCTAACGTAACTTATAAATAATATAGTCTCTGTTTATTCATTTCAAAACGAAGTAAACTAGAAATTTATGTAGGTATTAGTACTCTGTTTCTCCTTCTCAAAATTTCAAAAGTCATGTATATACGCTACCTGCGTAAAACATAAATATACATTTGCATACATATATATGTATATGTATATATATATATAAAATATATATATAATATATATATATATAGCCACATAGGTCGACTTGCAAATCGGAGAATGAAACATTCCAAGAAACCGAAACTTCGAATGTACCAAGAGAACTCTTGGCATTCGTGTGAATGCGAAAGACCGTCTAGAAAGTGCATTACGATCGTTCCCTTCGTGAGAATAAAGGAACCCCAGAGAGAGAAAGAGAGAAATAGAGAAAGAGAGAGAGAGAGAGAGAGAGAGAGAGAGAGAGAGAGAGAGAGAAAGAAAGAGAGAGAGAGAACTCCTTCCACTAGTCGATAAATATATCGAGCTTTTCACGCTTTCTTTATGTTACTTGTATCGAAGTGATATA